TCATGGCACCGCTACCGCTTCCACCGCCACCGCCGCCACCTCCAGAGCCGGAGACGACGGCGCTGGCTGTGGCCATTAGGTCGTCAAAAGAGGATGTGATGGTTGTATGACCCACTGTTGATGAGGAAGCTGGGGATAGTACATTGTTTTGGACAAGGACTGTGCTTGTTACGTTGAACACGTTGCTTGAGGATCCGCCGACGGTGTGGGAAGGGCTTGAAGGGTTAAACGTATGCGCTGAAGCCGCGTAAGAGCCACCACCGCCACTAGTGCTACTGAGCATAGTGCCCACACCACCCCCACTGATCGCACCAATACCACTACTTCCTCCCACACTGCTGCCGTTGTTGCTGGTGCCAGCAGACCCCCCCTCAAACCCAATCAACATCGGCAACACAGTATCAACCCCGTACTCCAAATACCTCACACAAATAAACCAAACCATCTGCACCACCACATCCAAATTAACGCCCTCCGGAACGACCCCCCTCCTATTCGGCGGGAACACCGCTCTCACAATCATGTCGACTCGGCGGGTTGCTGTTGCGGTCGATGTTTCGGTGCATCGAAAGAGGTAGACCCAGAGGAGACGAACGACGCAGGAGAGGGCTGTGTGGCGGAGGTGCTTATCGCGGAAACGTTGGATGCAGGTCTCAATGAAGGCGAGCCAGTGTTTGTGGAAGAAGGGGGGGCGGGAGACGCAGAGGAGCGTTGTGACGAGGGGGATGGCGGCCTTTTTTATAAAGATGAAAAGCAGTGAATAATGCAGTCCTGGAAATCCATTCATTTCTTAAATGAAATCAAAAGCCAAAAAGAAGGAAGACATACCGGCAAATGCCTCGGTTTAGCAATCATCTTTATCCCCTTTGGAAAAATAAGTTCGACCGTCTTCATCCAAGCCGGCAGATTCACCTCCGCCGTCGCAACAGCAGCAATCGGTTCCAACAACTCTACAAACAAGTCGGCAAAAGCGTGTTTGAGTTTCATGTTGTGAGCGTTTTGGTAGAATTCTGCGCATATTTGGAGGAAATCTGCTGTTTCTTCGAGGGCGTCCATTGGGTAGATCTATAAAAGGAAAGGAAAGGTTAGAAAAGAGATCAGAGATCGTATGCAATTTATGTTTGTAAATTCAAAATTTGTGAAAATAAACATTACCTTCAACTTCAAAAATCTCATACTCCTCACAATCTGCTCCACCTTATTCTCCTTCATACCCCCACTCCTCCCCAACTCGGCCACAAACCGATCACTAACAGTCCCAAACCGAATCCCCGAAAGCGCCCCAATCAATTCCGCAAAAAAATCCAAATTCGCCATCCTATTGATATTCCTGCTCGTCAACTCCGGGTCCGCGTTTTTCAACTGTTGAAAGACCATGTCTTCGAGTTTGTCGCCGAGATCGTCGGGGAGTGTGTTTTTGGAGAGGTGACGGATTATTTCGATGAGGGCGCGGCAGAGAATGAAGTTTGCGATGAGGAGTTTGCGTTCTTTTAGGTGGGTTTCGAGGACTTTTTCTTTCATGTGGGGGTAGAGACCGGCTCTAGATATTTGAGAAATGAATGAATTAATCAATTAAATGAAGAAAATATTAATTCGCGGTTAAAAGAAATCATCGCCCGAAGGCGATATTTGCTTCGCCTTACAAAATCCGCTTCGTTTCGCTTCGCGGATGAAAATACTTACAAATGCCTAACATCCCCCACACTCTCACTCTTGCTCTTCCTCCACACCATAATACTATCAATCATCAATTTCGGACAATGTTTCGAAATCGACCCCAAAGACTGCAAAAGTCTGTCAAATTCGGTATCCGCCCCAGCTCTTATTGGTGCCGACAAGTCAACTTCACGATCCAAGTGCAAGAACATGAGAGCATTGACTTTATTCTCTGCAGCCCTTACGAATCGAGCAAAGAGGTTTTGAAGGACACAGTGAGCTGGCGATAGGATTGATGTTGATGAAGATGAAGATGGGGTGGTGGTGGAGGAGGAGGCTGGTTTTCTTGATGATGAAAAGGGTTGTGGAGGTGAAGAACGAGAGAGGGGTAGTGGTGCTGTTTGTGGGTGTGTGGGTGCAGATGTTGATGACGAAGAAGAAGACAAGAGTGTTTGTTGCGGATGAGCCGACGCGGACGACGAAGAAGCCGAAGACGCCGAGGCGGATGCAGATGGGGATGTGGATAAAGGTCCATTGTTAGATTGACTAAAGGGAACGGAGATGGGGATTGTGGCCGAGGTAGGAGTGGCGAGAGCGGTTGAGGACGAGTAGTCAGGGGCGACGTAGGCGAGGTTTGGGTTTTGGGAGTAATATGAAGCTGAATTTGGAAGTTGTTGTGGTTGTGGTTGCTGGGTATGGGGAGTGACTGGGGTGAGTAGTTGTTGTTGTTTGAGGTGAAAGTTTGGGCTGTTTATTGCCGGGGACTGGAGTGGGTTGAGGGGAGACAGGACGGAGGTGGCGGATAAGGGCGGGGAAGTTGCCAGGGTCAAGCCCTGCGGGTGTCCTTGCGGGTGGTTAGAGTGTTGATGGTTGTTGTGTGGATTCATTGTTGATTACTGGTAGTAGTGGTGACGTTCACTGTCTCAACCTAGTCCTCCTGCTTGGTGACCTCGTTGTCCTGCTTGGTGACCTCGTTGTCCCGTATTAGACTTGGTTGCATGAACAACAGAGAAACATCATAGTTGAGGCATTCATTCGCTCTGTCTGTGCGCGTGTGTGTGTACGTGGTCACCCGAATATGCGTTCCCTGGGTGCCCGTAATTGACCGCAGCCGAGGTAACCGTGACCGTGACCGTGACCGCCGCCTTCGTTCTTGCAGTGAGCGTGGCCCTTGTTACACAGGATGCACTTCCCTGGGAAACATTTGTCACACATTCAGCCTTCTTTCATCTTTTTGTGTTGTTGTTTTTTGTTTAACTTACTTAAGTTGTTTACCTTTTATGTAAGTTAGACAGTAGATGATAGTGGAGAGAAGTTGAGGAGTTTGAGGGGAAGAGATGGGAAACTCGAAGGAGGCGAGGGGAGGAGAAGGGAGGGAGTCGAGAGTAGTAGAGTGCATTTTCCTCACGCATTTGCAACATCCAGCGTTTACTTATCTAAGAAATCGCCCAGCCGCAGAAACAAACTCCAAAGGACGAGGAAAGTTGATCCATACATTTTCCGCGGGTCTTCTGTGGTGCCTGGCACTGGGCTTTGGAACCGGAGGAAACGTACAAAGTGTCCAACTTGGCATGAGAGGACGAAAAAGCATGGAAGAACAGCATATTAAAGTCATGAAGGTCGAGAAAAAAAGAAAGAAAAGGAATCGCACACTACGCTCTCAGAGCCTTCTGCCACACAGTTGAATTGAAGAGCACATCGAAATGTGCAAGTGACGGTCCGCAAAGGCGCACCCCTCATCCATACACATGTTTGCATTGTCCGAGTACTCTGATCTGTTCATAATTCAATGAGATACACACCAGCTTTTTTTGTGACAATGCAAGATTTCAGACGTTCTCCACTATGTCATCAAATCGATAATAATATGAGAGGTTCATGCTACCGCTAGAGCTATTGCCACTGGGGCTCGGATGAAGAGGACGGGATTGACGTAGAGTAGTACTCCCAGTCATGAAAGTGGTGTTCATAGTGCCGTTCAAGCAAATCGTCTCGACTGTGTTGAGATCATCTTGTTTGGACGCAGTCGACGATTTCGTTGACTTTCTAGGTACCGAAACTCTGAACCGATCCCCATTTTGATACAGACCAAGCAAAGAGTTTACAGTATAATCCCCCCTCTTCATCAGCTCATCGATATGCACATTGTTCGGAACACGAGGAAGGGTTTCGAGCACATCAAACAAGAAGAACTTGAACACGCGCAGCTCGATGGGGTCGAGTGTCGTCAATGGCTGAGAAGAGTCGCAGGTATGGATACTGTGGCTTCTGAAGAGTAGGGTGTAATAGACAAAGGTGAGTTTGTCGGCATATTTAGTTTGAGCGGCGACACTGTTTTTGGATTCATTGTTTGTTTGGTGTTAACCGAGTTAGGGTCGGACTGTTTAGTTTCACACTCCGACACTCCCAACACAAAGTAATGCATTCGCAAGATCATGGCGGCGAGGTAGGTATGAGGAAAATAGGCGGCGGGCGGGTGTATTGATGGGGCCTTCGGTATTCTAGTCATTTGTTGTTTTTTTAATTTGTGTATGTTGTCGAATTTATCCTTTTTTCCTGGGAGTCATACAGGAGTCGTTTGAAAGTCGTTTGGGAGTCGTTTGGGAGTCGTATGGGAGGCGTGACACCCAAGAATAACCTATGCGTTATACTCGCCTGTAGGTGCTGTGCCTTTCACTGGCCTGTCCTTACGCTGATAAGAGAGTTGATGTTTTCCAAGATTTTCCAACGCGGCTTTGGGAGGGAATAATGGGATGGGCGACAGGTGAAAAAGTTTGAAAACATAGACAAACAGAGGAAAACAAAGGAAAAACAAACACACCAACAGCAAAAACACCAACAGTTCACCCAACATGATGAATTGATAACTCTTTCGAACGCGATTACTTGCATAGAAGAAAAAAGAGGGGGGGAGGGGGGAAACGAGAAAAAGAACAAGAAACAAAAATTGGCAACGGGTTCTCCACTAACAAGTCTAACAGCTCAAGTTGGGAATCAAATGCCGGCGACTCGGCTGGCTAATCGCCAATGAACCAAGAAGTCCAAGAGGATCCGCGCAATCTTGACGACTCTCAAAACACACTTAATGAAAAAAAACTCAGAAACCTTGGATGCTCATCATGCTCATATATTCAACTCCATGCGTGAGATGGTCAGGACAGGTTACAGACACATTAAAGCCCATGATTTTCATGGCGACTGTAGCCAGTCACTCCCCAAGACCAACAAAAACGACAGGCACAACAAACACACCGTCACACAGATACAAAAAATAACCAACACATCACACAACACCCCCATAAACAAAACGAACCTCAAAAACTAAAGACATACAATTAAGTGCACTCCCAGGCGGGGAATCGCGAACCTTGGTCACTCGCGTGACAGGCGAGTATACTAGCCACTATACTACCTGGGATCATGCTATTACTTGTGTCAGTCTCGTATATTAATAAAGGTCACTTGAAGAAAATGCTACGGAAGTGTGTCGTCTCGTCGTCGTGCCCCCATGATCGTTCGGGGCGGGGGAAGGGGGTCTTAGTATAGGTCTTGTATGTAAGCGCTCGTGTGTAGTGGGCTCATGTGTGTATAATTAATAGTCCGTAGACCGTGTATGTATGGTATCGTCTATGTGTAATACAATGAAGGGTGCGAAGGTTTTCTAAGACCCGCATCTAGCCATGCCATCCCATCTATGTGCTTCTACGATCATCGCCCGTATAATATGCGATTCCCACAACAAGCCCTTGTAGTATGGGTGTAGCGTCCTCGCCACCCAATACTAGCAGACACCGCGTCGTCGTCCGATTTGGGCGAAGTCCCAAACAAGAATCCAAGCTGCGTCTCGGTGTCTTCAATGGCATCGCGGCGAAATCTAGAATCTCAACGTCAACGTAAGCAAAACTTCTCGAAATCCAATCACAATCAGCACGAAACAAGGAAATCTCAGAAACGACAACTTTGGCAATCAGATCTCGGCAATATAAGGAACACACGGGCAGGGATCAGGAGAAAAGGGGGCTTACTCTTGATAGACGAGAGAAACGAGGCAAGGATTGACTTGGGCGAGAGTTGAGGGGTACGAAGGATGTATTGTGTATAGGATAAATAAGATATAGAAATGACTTGTCTTACTTAACTACATTGTAGTCAAGCGACTATTTATAGAAAGAACTAACTAGAAACGAAACGTGGAAATAGGAAAAACAACTGGAAACACAAATCTAACTCAAAGCAAGGTTTCAAGGGGTTTCGCGGGAGGTTGGTGACTTTGCGCGTCGCGTCCGCGACGCTTCGCGTAAGGTTCAGGGGTTTCCACCTAGAATACAACTTCTACGTGCAAGCTACGAGTTTGGAACTTGTGGCAATACAAGGTTTCATTAGGCTAAGCTATCTCTCGAGGGGTGACTAGACTGGTTTGTGACATCACCTCCTCCTTTGAGGAGCACGTCCCGTGCGACGGCGTGGTTGAGGCGAGGGAGTCACCGGCTTGGGTTTACTTGGATGTTGACGATGGAATGAGTCTACGAGCTTCTTGGCATTCGTCAAGTGTTCGGCAGGTTCCCAGGTACGATCAGCGACAGTATAACCTGAGGTGTTCACGGCATTGAAGGACAAGAACCCCGCCAATGTCCATTCTGCCATGTATGCTGTGCGCCATCCTGAAACGGTTCGAAAGATGAAGAAAGCTTGCTACAAAAGGGCAAAATCAAGGCAAGGATCTGTTTGGAAGATTAGGTGTGAGAAATCATTTGTTTATTTGACCACCCCCCTTCGGTTGGCAGGCAGCGTGAGCTTTGAACCACTTGAGGGTGAAACATTGTAACCCAGGTACATACTAAAATACATAGTCAAAGGATGCACGGGTGAAAGGAAACGCCAAACCCCTAATTCATCTCAAACCACCCTTTGCATCAAACCACCTTCCAACCCAAGACTCTGTTCGTGTTCACTCCGTTGTAGAACCGCTTTTTGATGATCATCCCCTTGTTTTTAAACTCCTCTCCACATTTCTTGTCAGTTGCATCCTTCTCGCAGTAACCCCTTTCCCGACACCAAGACTTGAAGGTGTTGTAGAACTGCAAGGGCTGGATCCAGGCGTCCTTGTCGTCTTTTGGAACCGGGACGGTCTTCTCTTCCAGAAACAGCTGATACGCGTCGTTGTCCGTCTTGTAGTCTTTTGTGGCCAGATCCACTGCCGCGGGGGTGGGACCCAAGTCGTGCTCCTTGTACCGACGGTAGCAATCCAACAAAACGTTCATGAACCCCACGCGCCAGGTTGCAAAGACCTCATCATCCAGCGTCGGATCCCCTCGGTAAATGTGGTCTTCGGGCCGTTCGGGGACATGGGGTGCCACGAACGTGCTCACAAACGGGATCACCTTGATGCGTCGGACCATGGCATTGTCCCTGGCGTTGAACTTGGGGAGGTGGTTGCAAACAAAGAAGAGCTTGAAATCCATCCGCATGGTGGCTGGTGCGCCGTACAGCCCTCGGCCAGATGTCGTGTCACCTCCGCTGAAGGTTTTGAACGTGCACTCGTTGATGGCTCTTCCGTCCACATTCTCCGACACATACACAAACCGTTTCCCCACCAGAGCCATGAGCATCGGGGTCGCGGTGTTTGGATCAGAGTTGGTTTTCCCTGTGATCATCTCGTGCTTCATTGCAAAGGTGTAGTCCCCAAGGGTTTCCTTCATCAAGGACAGCAGCTTGCTCTTGCTGTTCGCCCCCCTTCCGTAGCCAAAGAAAGCCAGTTGGTTTCTGGTGTACCCTGCCAAGCACGATGCGAGATACCTGAGAGTGTACTCGCGAACGTCCGGGTCAGGGAACACCTTGCACAAGAAGTCGAGGATCCGATCTTGGTGCTCAGTACACTCAGGGTCGTAGTCGTACCCGGTGGAAATCGAAAGCATGTCGCTGGGTTCCGCTTTGCGAAACACGTCAGCCGCCAAGTCGTACACCCCGTTGTTGAAAGCAAGGAGCGATCGCTTCTTGTCCAGGTCTTGGACGAAATTTTTCGAACACATCCCCACCAAAGTCCCCAGGTCATCAATCAAACCATTCTTGTAGCTCGCCGTCTCAAGTTTGGTGATCACGCCGTCGATGTGCTTGAGCTTGCGCTCCTTACCGACAACGCAACCGCTGGCTTCGAAGGCACTCTT